TCCGCCTTCTTCAGGTGGTTGGAATTTCGAACTGAACCCTTTATTTCGATCGCTGGGGTAGACAGTTCTAGTTCCAGGTGCCATGTTTTGATGGATGTCAGTTATCAGTTATCTCCTGCTAATTTTCCCTCTGAAAGTTCTCCACTGCCTTAACCAGGAATTGAACTCACCTTCTTTGGGTCTGTCACTGGATCTAACCAACGCCTTTATCCACTGTGCCATGTGTCCTCAAGGACACATGGCACAGTGGATAAAGGCCGGAGCGTACAACAGCCGAAACGTTGTGACAAATATGGCGACAAAGATGAGGACAATAGTCCGACTAATGTAAATGATCTTTAGCTTTGAAAATGTCCTCTCACATTGGACTTGAGTCACTAATAGATTGCAGATTAATGTTATAAAATTATTATTGCTTTTTTATTCTAAAAGTGTTTGTTTCTTTATTGAAATATTATTTGATAAAGGAAGCTCACTTATCATTGAGCATTACACTCTGGCCAGTCTTTTACTGGGTGACTGTAATTGCTAATGGCATTGATTATGTCAACAATTATGTGGTTTACTAAAACAACTGATCTCTATAACACCATTAGGAGTATTTACCTCAATTTTAAAAGCTATGAAATAATTTAAACATAGTATTCAGTGTAGTACTAATCTGTACTGTTAGGAATAAGGTAAATTTAATGGCTTTATCTAGTTTATATATCTACATGCTTACGTAACTGTGTTTTTCGTTCAGACAGGACTGGGATTAATCTTGTACAAAGAATGGTGTGTCCTGCCTGACAAAGGATTGGTTATAATGATTTGAAGCAAGGTTTTTACAAGACCAGCTGCTCTTCCAGACACTCAACTCAGACACTCACAGTAGCCCAAATACACCATGTGTTTTTATTGAGACACCATCTCAAGGAAGGTTGCCACTCAACGTTTGAAACGCCATCTTAGACATATATACAGGGTGCGATAGATAAATTGTCGTCTGAATTATGCAAAAATGAAAATAATACTGACATTTCAGATATATTTACCAAAATTACACAAAAAATATCTTGAAATACTAAAGAGTAAATTTATTCAATAAAATCACCCTTGGCTTCAACCACAGCCTCCAGACGACTTTGAAATTTCTTGCAACTCTTCTGGATGGTCTCCTTGTTTAAGTTAGTGAATGCTGCCATAATCCTTGCCTTCAGTTCATCTTTGGTGTTACAAGAGTTCTGTTAGTCTCTCACTCAACTGCAACACACATAATAATCAAGGAGGGTATAGTCTGGGGAGTTAGGTGGCCAGATGTAAGGGGTGATGGGGTCACAGAAATTGTCTGACAGCCATGACTGGGTTCTCCTGCTTGTGCAGCATGGTGCAGAGTCCTGTTGCCAGATATAGGGTCTTTGAGCAGCCACCCTTTTGATCCAGGGCAGCACTACCTCCTCAAGGCACTTGATGCAGGCCTCCGTGTTGAGTCTGAGGCCCTCACCAGCAAACTCAAGATTTCTTTTCTTATCAGCATGAGTTTTCCGAGTTGCCATAGCTTTGTAATCATTACTAGACTCATCCAACTCTTTCCAAATCCTCTGTACTGTCCTCAGATCGACACCCAAACATTCGGAAATGTTCATATCAGAGCTACCAGCATGAATGCCAAGCAGTACAGCAAGTCATTCCCAAATTTCTAGTGGAGTGGATTGCATCATGCTGCTCTTTTTCTCACAGATGGTGCCCAACTGACCCCATTATATTGTGCAGTCAACAAAATCAAAATCAAACAACATACAGGCATGAAATTAAAAATATAAAATGGCGACAATTTACCCATTGCACACTGTATGTATATGTGTGTGTGTATGTGTGTATATATATATATATTTTTATAAATTTAAAATTTCCAATGTCTCTTATTTGTGTGCATGTGTAGTTGCATCAACATAAACACAGTCTGATGAAATCCCGAAGGACGAAACACGTCATATGAAAAATTTTCCATTTTGTCAGACATCTTTCCTACAAAATTGTTCTTGATGTATAAAAAATTTACTTATTGTTATCCCATATTTATATATATATATATATATATATATATATATATATACACACACACATATATATACATGTATGCAAATATATTGATATTAAATAACCAGATGAAAGGGGTGATGTGGCTGCATAAATTGTCTGACAGCCATGACTGGGTTTTCCTACTTGTGTGACATGGTGCAGAGTCCCGTTATAAGACAGAGATTCTTCCATCAACCACCCTCTTGACCCAGAGCAGCACTACTTTCTCAAGGCACCTTTATGTAGACCTCTGTGTTGAGTCTGAGTCTCTATGGGAAGACGAATGTAGGCATAACGTCACCGTTACTAGTGATCCCTCCAAACACCTTCATAATCACCATTAGACACATCCAACTCTTTCCAAATACTCTGCACTGTCTTCAGATTGACACCCAAACATTTGGAAATGTTCGTATCAGAGCTACCTGCATGAATACCAAGCAGTAGAGCATGCCATTTCCAAATTTCTGTCAGAGTGAATTGCGTATGATGTTAATTTTCTAACAGATGGCGCCCAACTGACCCTACTATACTGTGCAGTTGACAAAATCAAAACAAACAAACACACATGCAGGAAATCAAAAACATAAAATGACGACAATTTACCCATCGCACCCTCTGTGTGTGTGTGTGTGTGTGTGTGTGTATATATATATATATATATATATATATATATATATATATATATATATATATATATATATATATATATTTTAAATTTTTCCAGTTTCTTGTTTGTGTGCAATGTGTAGTTGCATCAACATAAACTCGGTCTGATGAAGTCCTGAAGAACAAAACACGTCACATGAAAAATTTTCCCTTTCCTACAAAATTGTTCTTGATATATAAAAATTTACTTATTGTTATCCCATATATATATATATATATATATATATATATATATATATATATATATATAAATATATTGATATAATAGGAAAGAACCATTAGATTGATGATCTGAAGTTCTTCAGTATTTTTGTTTTTATTTTTAAAAAACATTGCTCGATACACAAGTAGAGCCTAGATTATAATTATTTTTTGAAAAATATGATTCTATCGCTACATAGGAATTACCATGTTTCAAAAAAAAATTATATATATATATATATATATATATATATATATGCTAATCACCCCTTCATGCAGCTGGTTGTATTTGGCTACATATTACCAGCAGCAGGCCTAATCCTGAACTAATATATGTGAATAACTTGAATGACTTTTCTATCTTTACCAAGAAGGATCAACTGCTGATCAAATTTTGTCAGATGTGGATATTTGACCAACTGTTATTATTGTGTAAAAACAAGGATTTATTTCCAGACACAATTGATGTACCAAAAATAATTATGCAGCCTAAACATATTAGTTGAATAATGTGGTTCAAATGTGCCACTTTGTACTGGCCATTTGCTACTAGGTATTACTTTGTTATATATATGGTTCTGAACTAGTGAAAATGCCTAATGCCTATGACATTAGCCAAGTGGTTAGTTTTCATGTTTCATCAGGTTAAAAAAAGCCGCCACAGTATCCAGATCTCAGATAGTGGTGGTCAGTGTCTTGGGTCAACAAATTGAGAAACATTTCATTACATTTATTTTTAGCTTCTTCATGAAGAAATTAATTTAAAAGAAATTTAAATTGACTGGTTATCTGATATAAAAAAAAAAATATCAGAAATTTTATAATTCTGTTTGGCATGAGATGATTCATTAATGATTTTCTCAAAATATGAATTCAACGATGCAAATAGCAAAAAGTCTCCCAATTAGTATGCCATCAAATTCAAGAATCAAGGTTTTTACTTGCTCGGCTAGTGTCCTATGGGGAACCGTGTTTGCAATAACAGATCAGTTATATTAAAATAATATGTTCTCTTTTGGTACCAAAAAAGAACAAGACGTCCCAAGACAGAGAGCAAAATGAGAACAGTGTACACCTATAGATTAAATAAACTGTTCAGTTCAAAATTCACTGATGGTTACCTGGATTTGCAAACACCTGAAGAAGGTCAGTGAGCACAATGGTTGAAACATGATAGTAACAACAAAGGTGAGGATATTAGTTTGAATCTAAATAAAGATAACTTGGCATCATGAATTTTGATGCCTGCAATAATATCAGGATGACAAAAAAAAACAAAAAAACAAATGGATTGTCAAAAGTATGGTTTTTCCCTTGACACTGCTATTATTTTAACTACCTTTGCTCCTCAGCAATGTTTATTCTTTTAAAAAGGTGGGGATATTAGTTTGAATGTAAATAAAGATAACTTGGCATTATGAACCTTCATGCCTGCAATAAGAAGTAGTCTCAAAAGGATGTTTTTTTTTTCTCTTAACACCACTATTATTTTAACTACCTTTGCTCCACGGCAATGTTTATTCTTTTAAAAAAGTGATGATTAGAATTGGAATAAAACCTAAACATATGAAAGTGAATTTATACATTTTTTGTTTTATAAAAATAAAGGTTGCCAAGAAGTGAAGGTAGTTAAAATAATAGTGATGTCAAAGGAAAAAACATCCATTTGACATGCCATATCTTTGCAGCCACAAAGGTAAAAGTTTGCCCATTTTACTTCTTTATGTACAGTGTCACCTCAAGGCATAGGCGTTTATGGCTCTCCACAATTTCCTGTCCTTTGTAGTTCTTAATAAATTGTGTCTTTTTGTCATCTCAAACTTTATTCTGCTATCCATTTACTCAGGCACAATTTTCTTCTTCTATGTGCTGTGTCCCTTGAGAATGTATGCATTCATGGCTCTCCACAATTTCCTGTCCTTTGTAGCTCTTAATGAAATTTGCCTCTTTGCCATCTCTGCTCTGCTATCCAATCACTCAAGCTCTCCAGGTAGGTTGCGCATTTCTTTTGGCCCTCTTACCTTTAATCTGTAAAGAAACTTTCAAGATAAGCTTGTTCTACTTACTCAAAGAAATTCTCCTCAAGTTCAGCTTCACTTAAATCAGCATGGATAGGAATCAAAGTGGTGTTTATGTACATAATATTTGGCAGAGGAACTTCAGTTTCTTCAAAAGTCTCCTAGGGGAAAAAAAAAAAATTAAAAGAAATTATTTCTTAGAAGAAAGGAGAGCAATCAGAAGTCATCAATGGGCAGATCTGATCAACCGACATTGCAAAAAGCGATGGAATAGCGCCAAAATCTTATAAGGTTGATCTTTAATTTATGACTATAAAAATACTTTAAAAACGGACATTCTAAAAATTATATATTAACATGGCTTCAGTAATTTTTCCATCGCCATAAGGTTGCCTCTGTGCCTTTTCTATAAATACTTTCATGGTAATTATTCAGATGAGCTTTTTGCTATGGTACCTAGAGTTTTTGAATTTAAGCTCAGCGTTATACTGGCGTTGGTATATCATCAATTTACAGTTGAGCTAACTAGATGTAGCCATAAATTCTATGCTAACAGTTTCTTTTCTTGCATTTCTCTCCCTTCCGGCTCCATGCTTTCCAGCCAACTTTAATCTTCAAATATTTAAATGCAATGTCAATTGCTATCTACTGTCCTCCTGATTACTCTTTCCTCTTCCCACTCTTTATTAATGTTTCTATTCCTAATTCTTCCACACCCAGTAACCCCTTGTGTCTTAGTGGCTTTATTGACTTGCATGGGGTGAAACTGATCAAAAAAAAAGAAAAAGATAAAAGAGAAAGTTAAATACATAGTTTTCAAATTTTTAATTTGAGAAGTCTCTAAAATGACATTAAAACTTGCTGTGTATAGCAACGTAAACTATGACGGATGCTAAGTGATATAATTTATAGCCTAATAAACAAAATGGGAAAATGTTTTTGAATTGTTTATTTTATTTTTTAATGTAATTATTTATTTCTATGTATTTTGTTTAATTATTTATTTATTAATGTATTTTAAATTTAAAAAGGATTTGAGTTAACTTTTAAAAAAAAAAAAAAAAATTATTTTAATTTTTAAAAACTTTTATGGTCATGTATATTGATTTGAGAAAAGAGTATTTCTTTTAAGGCCAACCCTATCTATCTATCTTTCTTTACATATATATATATAAAATTCTGTGACTTCCGTTAGTTCATCCCACCCTCTAAAAAATTCATATATTGACCGATTGAAGCCAAATTTTGGGGAGAAGTGCAAATAGGTAAGTGGGATACAAAGTACGGTTGGCTTTACTCAGGTGTGTAGCTTAGGAAAAAAAAATTTTCATTAATTTTTGGTAAAAATTAAAAGTTCTGTTATTTAACATACAAAATATTTCCACAATTTTAAAAACAATTCAATGATTAAAATAACAAATATTTAATAAAAATGCATTATTGCTTTTTGCATATGTCTTCTTTAAGTGTTTACATTTCATCAATTGGATTGTGAAATTGAATGAAATGTAGAGTTTGTAAATCTCAACCAAACATTTTGGTTTGGTTTGGTTTTACGGCATATCAATATTAATGGGTTATTTAATGCCGACAACATTTTTATTGCTGGTAATATTTTGCCTCCAAAAATTCTATTTCTGGTAAAATTTTCTTTCAAATATGTATCACTGGTAATATTTTTTTTTTTTTTTCCAAAACTATATTGCTGGTAATATTTGCTTTTCAAAAATGTATTGCTGGCAACATTTGGTTTTCAAAAATGTATTGCTGGTAATTATTTTTTACAAAGTATTTCTGGTATTAAAACCTATTTTTACACTTTCATGGTGTTTTGACCCCAATTACAATTCCATTTTGATTATGTATTATGAATTTTTACATGTCCAATATTTTTTTTATTTTATTTATATGGGTGAAGTATCCACCATTTCTATATTCTCCAGACTATTAGCATTTTGTTTCTTGTTATATTTTGTTCTTTAAACTTCTTTTGTTTCTACTTTCTTGTTTGATTTTGCTTCCTTAGTTTTACCATTCGGTTCTTTTCAATGAACTTTGTATAGATGATTTTTCCTTTGTTTGTGATGGGCTAGAGTTTTGTTCCTCTATGTCCATTTTTCTTGGTTCTTCAATAACCGTTGAGTTATTTGTTTTCTATCTATTCGTTCTCTTGAGAATGTTTTGATGTTTCTATTTCATGGAGTTTTTTTTCATTTGGATTTTTTGGGTTTAATAGTTTTGTAGATCTAGAGTCATTTTTGTTTGTAGTTGATGGTATAGGGTTTGTTTTTCCATTAGAACCCTACTATAAGAGAAAATATCTCGCGTGTACATAACTTGGGGTGTTAGTCTAATACTAATAACACTAACCCTAATATACGAGATACACAAAATAATAAAGGTAACTTTGTAGTAGAGTGGGGGGGAGTACCGTATATACATGTATAAACAGGCTTTATTTATAAAGTGATTGCTGAATTTTTTTGCATAAATTTTAACCCCTCCAAAAAAAAAAAAAAAAAAAAAAAAAAAAAGATTTACCTGTATATAGTGCTACCGCTCACCAAAAATGCATGATTTTTAAACTCTGCAAAAAGAAAAAAAAAACCTGCGTATAACACAACTTCCTATTAAAAAACTGATCATAAAGACTTGCACTAAACTGAAGTATATATGGTGCATTTTGTTTTTGCAGAAAATAATTTGTTAGCAAAACGGTACCATGTGGAGGATAGCAGCAACATTTTGACTGTAGTTGAGATCATTGAGTCAATGCAAACGATCCTTTCCTTAGCTGCATAGTACATGCTTTGTCAGGGCTACATGCAGTTTTGAATTCAGAATTTTCTTTCTCTTAGACTGGTTGCCAACCAAGGCTATATAACTCAGTCTGCCCTACTATCTACTCATAGCTTGTGGGGTGGAGATGAGTTGGATTCATACATTTCCCAAGGTTATTTGCACAAATGTGAATGCAATGAACTTGACTGTAATTTGAACTCGGCTCTCTGATTCCTCAATCAGAGCTGCAATCCATTTGTCTACCATTAAGAGAATTTATTTTCTTATTTAAGTAAAACTGACCTCTGGGATGCGTTGTTCTGGATACTGGATGTCCCATGAGGAAGGCACCTCTTTTTTGTTAAGCATCTGGCCAAAAATGACATAGAAAAAAAGGATGATGGCAAATCCACAGAGGAAAAACGCTCGAAGTAGATAACATCTTTTCTTGAAGCACAACTGCAAGAAAAAACAGAAAAGAAAATCTGTTAAATATCAAGAAAACAGAGAAGGAATTAATGAGATTTCGAAAAAAAAAAAAAACATTGGAAAAAAGAACTTGAGGAAAATATTTTTATCTTCATTCTCTAATTTTTTAAATTTTTATTATCTACATTCTCTAATTTTTTAAATTTTTATTATCTACATTCTCTAATTTTTTAAATTTTTATTATCTACATTCTCTAATTTTTTAAATTTTTATTTCTCATCTACATTCTCTATTTTAATTAACAAAAAACTGCACACATTTTTCAATTCTTTGTGGCTTTATTTGGAAGTTAAAATAATATTACAACTTGCTTTTTAGTCATCACAAAACCTAATTATGAATAAAGCAAGATACGGGGAGAGATGTGTAGGTCAAATTGTAGACAACAGATGCTTCAACAAGAGAATAAAACAATATTTTAAACAATAACATTGCTCATTGTTTTTCCATATCACAAATGTAAGAAGAAGACTCCACATCAACAGATTTTATCCAAGAACTGCTACTTTGTGAAACATACTCCTATGTGAGTGCTTTCTTGAATGTAAGAAGAAGACTCCACATCAACAGATTTTACCCAAGAACTGCTACTTTGTGAAACATACTCCTATGTGAGTGCTTTCTTGAATGTAAGAAGAAGACTCCACATCAACAGATTTTACCCAAGAACTGCTACTTTGTGAAACATACTCCTATGTGAGTGCTTTCTTGAATACTATAATCTTAACCTCTTCAAGTCAAGATTCAGTTGTTATCATCATAATCTTCCCTACCTACCCCTTCTTCTTTCATTCCTATCACAAACTTCATTCATCATAACCACTTTGACATTCCCTCTCTACACTACAGTCTTAACCTCTTCAAGTCAATCGCTATCTATCCTCCTTATCCTCATAATCTTCCCTACCTACCACTTCTTTTATCCCTATCACACACCTCATTTATCATAACAATTTTGACATTCACTCTCTACACTACAATATTAACATCTTCAAATCAATTGTTATCTTGTGGATGTGATGATAAACTACATCCACATCCTGGGTAAAACAATAAACTATGTCCAACAGCAAGGTCTCTGATCAGGAGGCTTTGAGGAGTGTGGAACCACCTCTTAATTGCTGGTGTTGCCAGGTCCACCCTGACCCGGGGTGGTAGCACCTGTTAGGGTCCCAACTATGGGCAAATAGTTAACCATCCCCATCACAAAAAAAACATCAATTGTTATCTATCCTTCTTATCTTCCCTTCCTACCCCCTCCTCTTTCATTCCTATCACACATCTCATTCATCATAACTATTTTAATAATAACCCTCTACACTACAATTTTGATCTCTTTATGTCAATCATTATCTATCCTCCTTATCCTCTTAATCTTCACTTCCTACCCCCATTCATCATAACCATTTTGACAGTAACCCTCTTTGAGTGGATCTTGAGCAGTGGATGAAATTTAAAACAAAAATTGACAGATGCGACAACAAAAGAGCAAAATGATTATAAAACATTGCATATTGTTTCTCCATATTCCAAATGTAATTCATCATTACCATTTTGATTATAACCCTCTACCTTGAGTGACTCTTCAACTTTACATTGGGTAAAATTAGAACAAAAAAAAATCTTTATAAGCCAAATTAAAGTAGGAAAACTTTTATATGCCAGTTCTACCAATACAAGGTACAAGAGCCACTCATGGTAGAGAGTTACAGAAGAAGGTATGTGAAATGAATGTAACAGAAGGATTGTTTTGTGTGTTTAGTGACATATCAACTTATGGGTCACTTAATGCTGAAATTTAATTTTCTTGTGTGCATTTGTAATTTCTTTGACAAAAATGTATTGCTGTTATTTTTTTTTTTATTATGAAAATATTTTGCTGGTATTTTTACAATAATATTTTTTATATACATTCATAGTGTTTTGGCTACAGTTTGGTAGTTAACTATTTGCCTATAGCTGGGACCCTAACAGGTGCCACCACCCTGGGTCAGGGTAGACCTGGGAACACCAGCAATCAAGAGGTGGCTCCATACTCCTCCAAACATCCCGATCAGAGGTCTTACTGCCGGATGTAGTTTATCATCATACCCAGGATGGGTAAAGTAGGAGAATCTGAAGACAATAAGGATAGATAATGAGTAAGGAGGTAAAGTGGAGTAATGGATAGCGGCTCGGATTGCGGAATCGAAGAGCTGAGTTCAAATTCAAGTCGAACCCATTATATTCACTTAAGTGCTAATACCCTTGGGGAAGGTATGAATCCTCTTCTTCTCCCCCAGCTATGGGTAGATAGGACAGACTGGATCTATAGCCTTCTGGTCTACCGCAGAAAGAAATGCAGAAAAAAAATTTGCCTCATCGGTCATATATCAAAAGATACATGATTGCCTAATTGAGGAATCAGAGAGCCGAGTTTGAATTCCAGTCAAATCCATCACATTCACTTACATGCTAATACCCTTGGGAAAGGTATTAATCCTCCTCTTCTCCCACCAGCTATGGGTAAATAGCAGGACAGACTGGGTTCTATAGCCTTGGATGGCAACTGGTCTACCACAGAAAGAAATAACAATCTACTGCAGGAAAAAATCTACCTCGTTAGTCATGTATCGAAAGGTACATGATCGCCTAAGCGTGTATTACGTATGGCACATAACCTCTTCAAATCAAGGGTTAATGTTTAGGGAAGCACCAACATGGGTGTTTCTTTCATAATAGCAATTCTCTGGGTGAAAAAGCTATTTGAGTGGAACTTCCTCCTTACAATTGGAATACAGATGAAATATGGGTGATCTGATTCTGTGATTGTAGAATAGCAAGTCCTATTAGTAAAAGTCTAAACTGATGAAACTAAAGAATCTAGCTCGTCTGAACATTTACCATGGAAATAGAGCAGCAATAAGCTTGCACTTTGAATCTGTGGAGAAAGAGGTTGTAGAGTGAAAAGAATCACCCATCACCTCATGAGATAGCATAAACAATTTGGAATCTGTCTATATTTATAGTTAAGGCAGTGAAGAACTTGGAGAGGTGAATTAACAGCTCCTAGATAACTGACATCCATTAGACATGGCACGTGGTACTAGGACAGTCTACCCCAGGGAGCAAAATTCAGTTCAACATTCCAACCACCTGAAGAAGGCTGGAGCGTACAACGGCCAAAATGTTGTGATAAATATGGCAACAAAGATGACGACAATCGTCTGAATAATGTAAATAGTAAATAATTTGGAATTCTATCAAGGCTGGAAAGTGAGGATTGTGCAGCTCCAGCCAAAACATATCAGGAAAAAGATTTTGTTGTACAAATCTATTTGTGAGCCTTATACTGACATTTATAAATTGAAAAATATCTTGTTTAATTCCTCATTAAGTAACTGATCTCTGGTGCTACCAGAAAGGGTCATTGCATGAGATTTGTGGCCCCTACCAACTCTATGTTATCTCAATTTTCAGAAGGTAGTTTTTTTTGGGGAAAAAAAAAAAAGATACAAATCTTATTGTGACCTAATTATGCACAATAGAACAGTTCAACTATAAAATTGAAAATAAATACAATATATAAAGAAAAAAAGTTAAATAATAAATTAAGTTTTGAGGCAATTTTTAACACCAACTCGAGAATTTTCTTGTTAAAAAGTTGAATAATTTTAACAATTTGATATTATGGATAAAAAAAAATAGTGAATTTTTTGTTTAGATTTAGCAAAATAAATTCATGGTTTGGGACGAAAACAACACAAAAAAGCCCCCCGAATGATATCAAGATCCGTGAAATTTTTTTCTAATTTAGTTAATTGTGCTTCTTAGCTTAGCTTAGCACATATGAATTTAGGTAGAGAAAGGCAAATGTTGATAAGATAGCTAGAGTCACAAAAAAAAACAAAAAACACACACACACTACCCAAATCAGGTTTGACTACCCCTCATCCCCTCCACCTGGTCGGGTGGGGGGAGTGTTAGTATGCACCGGCCCTGCTACTGAATAAATTATGAATAAAAAAAAAAGTTTTAAAAGTAAAAACAATGAAAATCCTGTTGCCTAGCCTTGATCCGAAATAGACTATTTTTTTTTCAACACCACCCCTAGGCAAATCAACAGGCGAAATCGATTGTAGAAATTGAAAGCTGACGAAATCAGCTTTCAATTCCTACAATCGATTTCGTGGAGAACCCTTTTCAAATTGTTTACCTGGTGATTCTATAAAAATATTTCCAGGATGAAGTCAGTTTGATAACAAAACTCACTGGATTATAAAAGGAAAAAGATTTTGCACATTTAGTGTATAGAAAAAATAAAATTATTTTGCCCCTATCATTTTTGATAAAAAAAAATAACGTGTTTTACTTCCCTAGCAAATAGCAGTTAAAAACGATCTACAACAGACAACACCTTTTTTCGCACACCTGACACAAAGTACATACAAAAAAAAAAAAAAGAAAAAAATGATCCATAGTAGCTTCTTTATGATAATTTAATAAACCGCCATTTTTGATAATAGACAGGACATATAGATTTAAATTTTTTTTATTATTTTATTTTCTGAAATGTTTAAAATTCTCCATTCAAGAAAGAAAGTAGTAGTTTGAAGTTTTCATTTATTTTAAATTTTTATTATTATTATTACGGAAATAGTAGAGAGTCGTAAAAGTGCTGTAGATAAGTGGTGCTACACCTGGAGGAAAGGTAAATAATACACAATAATAACAATATCAATAAAAAAAAATAATAACGAAGAAGTTGCAGTTTTTTCTTTGGTGTTTGGACTCTAAAAAGAATAAACTTAATTTCTTTCTATTCTTAGCAGCAACGATGAAAAGAATTTTTTTTTCTTTTTTTTAAATAAATAATAAAAAAAAAATTATTATTAAAAAAAGAAGTCTTTTTTTATTTAAAAAAAAAAAAAAAAAAAGTTTATGAATAGGTGAAAACAGATAACGTACTCGAAATGGGTTGGCGGACAGTTACCCACAGGACCAACAAAGAGCCCCCGGCCACAGGTTCGCGTACGACACAGTAAATGTAAGAAAGGAAAAAGGGCTTTGTTCTTTTTGATTCACTCTCAATTTAGCATGGAATGTAGACTGACCAGCAAAAAAAGGGGTGCTTTTCATGAGGTTTTAGGTTAGAAGAGGAAGAAGATATTTTCCTTCCCCACAACAAAAGTACCTCACCCAACAGCTGAAAAGAAAGCATTAAAAAAACAAAAAAAAAAAAAAAGCAGGTGGTTACAGGTGGTGATTAAAGGATCCGTAATAATAAACGTATATTGCAAAAAATGGTACTGTGTCTCATAACGGAATTGGATTTTTATTTTAATTTGACAGCATCAAGATGGGAATAAAAACCAAAAACAACCTTTATTTGACGAGTGTCATTTTCAAAAAACAGAATCCAGATATATAGTCTTCTTCAGTTTCAGAAAGAAAAAAAAAACAAGAGAAGAAAAATGTGTTGCTGTTGACTTTGTTGAAAGTGGTTCTGTTAAAAATAATAACTTTTTAAAAATGATTTGCGAAATTGTTTGTTTTTTTTTTTTAGCTTTTAATCGGGAAAATATTTCTCTTTGTCATTTTTGTAAAACTACCAAATTATTAAAAAAAATAAATTTAAAATACGAAAAAAAATTGATTGAAAAGACATTTTTATTTTAAAATCATCGATGTTTTTGACCATTTTTCCTGTTGGATTTAATTTTAACGACGAAAATAAAAAACAAATTTTCTTCTAAATGAGAAAAAAAGAAAGAAAGAAGGTATAAAAAAGAAACAATGTTTTTCTCGATTTGGTTATTAATAAATAAATTAAATTGTATGAATCGAAAAAAAAAATGAAATAAAACCCTTTGTAATATTGCTTTCTATTTAAATTAGAGACTACAAAGAAAAGGTGGGTATAAATAATGCAAATACCGTTTTAATCATCCCAGAATTGAACGTAACTAATTTTGTAATCTCCACAGGTGCCGCAAAAAAATTAGGCGCGATCTTTTCACGTCTTCATTCGACGAGGCTTTTACCGGTTACACATAAAATGTCCACCCCGAATTTTAGTCCCGGATATTTTATATTGCATATTTTCTTTTTAATATACACACTTTTCTCTCGTTGGAACCACTATAACTTCTTTCTTTCACATATATATATATATATATATATATACTCTCCTGTCGTATTCGATGTATGAGGGTCAAGCAGCTTAGTTGCTAGGAACCGACAGCCCAGACATCAGCACGTATGATTTGATTCTAGTGGTGAAGGTTTTGTGCAGAACCATCCACTCTTTTTGAAGGGTCGAATACAGAGATCTGGTGCACTATATACCACAAGGTCCCCAAACGACCCTCTGCAGGTTTTGAATTCAGAGTTGTCCTTCTCCTAGACCGGTTGCCATCCAAGGCTATTCAACCCAGTCTATCCTGCTTTTTACACATTGCTGGAGGGAGAAGAGGAAGATTAATACCTTTCCCAAGGGTAATAGTACATAAGTGAATGTAATGGTTTCGATTATATTTATTCACATATATATATATATATATATATATATATATATATATATATATATATATATATATATTGGATTTTAAAATTGCCAGTTTTAATTTTAATATTAAATTTTATCATATAATTTTATAATTATTGGTTAGTATAAATTATTTTTAATATTACACATATTTTAAAAGATCTGAATAGCTATTATAACATGATTTCGTTGTCAAGCTTTTGAATCTTTCTATACTTGGTTTTTTGATTGGTTGTTTTAGCTTTTGTAACAATGTTTCCCCCCTAGTGTAGGATCGTTAATTAATCTGAAACTTTTAAAACCATTTATTTTATTTTCAACATCATCACTTGATAAGACACAGAGTGTGTTGAAACAAAATGGCTATTTTGTAGTGATTTTATAACATACTTATGTTATAATTTTTTTTATAAATAATAATTATATATATATATATATATATATATATATATATATATATATATATATATATATATATACCAAAAATATGTACGTGCAAGAGTGCATTACACACACACACACACACACATATATATATATATATATATATTATCTATCACCACTCGCACGACTGAGTAACTGTAACTAAGTTCTACTCTGTATAGTTGCAGTAGAAACCGCAGGTATGACCCTGTAGGTGTTGAACAAACACAAATGTGCCTGAGCAGGCGTCTGCAACAGGAATTGGCAAGTAGTCCTATCAGATGGGTGTGTTAAAAATGAGTACTCAAATATTTGGATAGTGTTCCTGATCAATCCAAATTTGTAAATAAATATATTGAATATACTACAATATGCCTAATAAGAAGATTCAAGTGACATCTTACTGACCATAGTTCAATTAGGTCCCATTTAAATGCACATGGAGATCTACCAAACTCCATCGACAACAAACTCGTTGATAATACAAATATAATAGCCTCATTCACATTAAAAAAATAATGGAAACATTATTAATAAAAAAGAAATAAATCAACTCTCAGTAATATTAACAATGAACACAGCCAAAATGTGCTGACTGTGTTTGGGAAATAAAACATTCCTATAACCCTAGATACATACATAAAACAATGCATACTTAGAGTTAAAAATAAAAAAAATATAATGTATCCTTGATAATGCCTAAGAATATAGTTGAAAGCGCTCGGACATATAAAACATTTGGACAATTTTTATATAATTTACGCCCAGAAAAGAAAAAAAACATTTTAATTTCTATATATAAGTACTTGTTGCAAAATAAAATCTTTACATTTTGCCCTAATAAATTCGAAGGATATATTGCGTCATGAAGTCTGCAAACAGCATTCCTTAGGTTTAAATTTAGAGTTTTCTTTCTCGTAGACTGGCTGATAGGCAAGCCATGAAACCCAGCTTACCCTGTTATTTAACCCATAGCTGAAGGGAGAGAGATGGATTTCTGCCGTTTTCCAAGAGCATTAGCATAACGTGAACGGAACATTTTTGACTGGAATTTGAACTTGTATTGCTGATTTCACTTTCTGCACTGATAACTGTTATACTACCTACACACAAACACACGCCCACGCACATATATTCCATTTCTTTATCTGTGAATTGCCATGTATTCTTAGGAAAAATAGTGAAGTGGTTTCCCATTGCCTTCTCCAAGGTTTTGAATTCAGAGTAGTCCTCCTCTTAGACTTTCCTCATTTTCTTTTTAATGCCATTTCCCTTCAGTATCAAGGGGATCATGGCTCTCCACACATTCCCTTTTCTTTATCATCTGTGAATTGTCATATATTCTTGGGAAAGATAGTCAAGTGGTTTCCCATTGCCTTCTCCAAGGTTTTGAATTCAGAGTAGTCCTTCTCTTAGACTTTCCTCCTTTTCTTTTTAATGCCATGTTCCTTCAGTATCAACGTGATCATGGCTCTCCACACATTCCCTTTTCTTTATCATCTGTGAATTGCCATGTATTCTTGGGAAAGATAGTGAAGTGGTTTCCCGTTGCATCCTCCAAGGTTTTGAATTCACAGTAGTCCTTCTCTTAGACTTTCCTCCTTTTCTTTTTAATGCCATGTTCCTTCAGTATCAACGTGATCATGGCTCTCCACACATTCCCTTTTCTTTATCATCTGTGAATTGCCATGTATTCTTGGGAAAGATAGTGAAGTGGTTTCCCGTTGCATTCTCCAAGGTTTTGAGTTCAGAGTAGTCCTCCTCTTAGACTTTCCTCATTTTCTTTTTAATGTCATGGCCCTTCAGTATCAAGGTGATCATGGCTCTCCACACATTCCCTTTTCTTTATTATCTGTGAATTGCCATGTATTTTTAGGAAAAATAGTGAAGTGATTTCCAATTGCTTTCTCCAAGCTTTTGAATTCAGAATAGTGGTTCCTTTAGACTGGCTGTTACCAAAGGCAAGAGAGTCCACTCTATTTTGGTATCTAACCTATAGTTAGGCCTTTACCAAAGACGAAAGTATGAAAGTGAGTTCCTTAGTCTAAGTTGGACTATGAACTTAACATGCTAGTTTCAATTTCTGTACCAAGAACTGTTACACCATCCACGCAACTTGTCCCATTAGATGCTTGAAAATTTAAGCAAACTTTCATCACTTATAAGGTCAATGCCCACTTGATCTTTGAAATGAGTCGGAAAGTAACAGATCTGCTGTAAACAAATGTATTTTTCAATGTATTTAACTAAAATTTATATATATATATATATAATCATTTATTCGAAAATAATAACATAAAAATGTTATAAAATTACAACAAAAATAGCCATTTTGTTTCAACACTTCTGGTATCTTCTCAAGTGATGGTGTTGAATGTAGAATAAAGGGTTTTAAAAGGTTCAAATTAATCAAACACCCCTCGCTAGGGGAAACGCTGTTACATAAGCTGCAATGACCAATCAAAATACAAGTATATAAGAATTCAAAAAACTTGACAACGAACATTGGTTATAATAATTATTTAATGCTTTAATGTTAGGGTTAGACTAAAATAGAATTCATTCTAAGTAATAAATGTTAAATTATACTATAAAATTCAAAGTTCAAAATTCAAAATTACCAATTTTAAATTTTAAATTTAATCTATATTAAATTTAAAATTATAAAATTATTTAAAGAAAAACCTGAGAAAAATACGTTTTTTTATTTATTTTGTTTTTATTGAAATTAAGTTAGAATAAACGTTAAGATCAAATGCTGCTCTGAACTCAGTTACAACTTAGATACATTTGAATGGAAGATATGGGTTAGGGATGGTGAAATCTTGCAAAAGACAATACACACAATCAGATTATAATACACAAACACGCAGACATATTTTAGATATATAAACACGCAAAAAAGCGACGATATATATATATATATATATATATATATATATATATATATATATATATTATTATTATTATTATTATTATTATTATTTTTAAAGAATATCAAGCACTTAAAATCCCATAGATAATAATTTTTATTTCATGAGAGCTCTAAAGAAAAAACAGCTCTCAATCTTCAAGGCTTACAAACAAATAACATGATGAAGAAAGACGGCTTGGGGAATTTAATACACATAGGATATATTGACGAAAAGAGAGACAAAGAAAAGCAGTGAATAACCTACTTAAAGAATTTGTATAATTGTTTAGAAAAACAGGGATTAGGAGAGATAAAACAGACAAACAAATAAGAGTTACAAAAACCGGAAGTTATGGAGAGACATGATCGCCCATATATGAAGGGACACGTCACATAGAAGAAAAATCAAGAACACTTTGTACTTTTGGTATCGCTTTGTTTCATTTCAACCGGCATCGAAATAGCTGTGGTCACAATCTGATATCATCGTGCTATTAGTTTAATTCGTTTTCCTTTGTGCTGGATGTAGGTGTCTCTTTTTTTATGAGTTTGTTGGTATCAATCTCCTGGGTGTGGTAGCCAACCCACCTGCTTCCAAAGAATTTAGCTTTCGAAATCTGATAGCCAGGGATTGGAATATTAATATATAGCGCTGATGATGTTCCCACCAAATCACGCGTTGTTGTCAAATCTATAACAATTTCTTTTTCTTTTCCGAACAAAGGAAAACTTGTTCCTGTTTTGTGGGCAGTGGTATATATGGGTATATATATATATATATATATATATATATATATATATATATATATATATATATAAACATCAAAAACCGAAAAGAATAAATAAATATATAAAATAAAAAATGAAAATAAAAAACACGTAAAATAAATGAACCCAAATAAATAAACAAACCACTCCCGCCAAAATAACCGCCAGAATAGAGTAACCACAATGCACCACTAACCTATATATATAAATATTGAGAAAAAATTCAACACTCGCGGCCTCACGATTGTGTCTAGCATTAAAAAGCCTGTCGCCTCTGAGTGTTGACTTCAATGTTCA